GAAAAGGCCTGTCCCAGTTTTCATGGACTTTTCTCACACCACTCCCCCCCCAATTGTGTTTTGCATGCCTGCTCTTCAACTCTGTGTGTATCTTTTTCTGAGTAGTATTATGATTCTTAAGTTTAACGACCTTGGTATCTGTAGGGACTCAGACATTTTATTAACTCCGCCCCTTGATGACTAGGCACCTCCTGTGACACGGCTACATCATCACTATGTCACGCGTTGCGGGACTCAGTGCGCATGTACCCCATCCCCTTTATAAGTCACCTCCAACCCCCCCTTCTCTCTCTCTCTTAGCTCTGCATGGGTTGGTTACCTCTCAACCCCCTTTTCCCTCGCTGTCTACCAATAAAACTCCACGTGGGATCATTGAGTCACGGCTTGTGTCTCCTTACTGGGTAAACCTAGACATTTTAACAACAGTATCTCCTATTCTAGTTTAAGGACATCTTCTATATACTTTATCAATGCCACAGTTTCAAAGACTACCCGATATCTCTTCAAATAACATCTCCTAAATTCTTACCACATGCAAGCATATAATACAAACAGTAAAATCTTAAATGTTTGCTTTAGGGTTTTCAAATTGGGGCGGGGGAGGCTTATTTAAACTGATTCAAGATCATCACATTTGGGCTGGGAACATGGTTCATTTGGTAGAGTGCTTGACTAAAATGTATGAAGCCCCAGTATCATGGTGTTACATGTGACTCCAGCATCTGGGATTTAGAAACAGGGTGATCAGAAGCTTAAAGTCATCTATGACTACATAGCAACTTTGAGCCTGTTTGAAATGTTCGCCTTAAAGAAATGATCAGTGATTCAAGCGATAGACATGTTTAGCATGACTTAAACATTACACAATGTACACATGTATACATTCATTATGACATCACGTAATACAATATTAGTGTTTTTCTATCAACTGATTTAAAAACAAACCTGAACACAAAACAATTGTTGCTTGAAGATCTTACAGTGAATGTGCACCGTTTCTATAATCAAAAGTAACATTTTTAAAAAAAGAAAAATAGCCTCAACTTCAGTAAGGATCATGAAAATAATATTAAAATTAAGAAATGTAAAATAAAATTTCTGAGATTAAGCAGGTCAAGAGCAAAGGGTTTCTTAATATTCACAAATCACAAATTATAGAAACTTCTTAGAAACTACTCAGGAGGCAAGTGATTTGTGACCACAAACCAAACCATTTATTTAATCTAGTAAGGCACAACCATTTTGCATGCAAACACTGCCTCTACCCATCCCTCTCAATTGTCCATTCTACCAATAAACACTGCTTCTTTCAATAAACCAATCAAGCAATTAGCTCTCTTGCTTAGAGGATGACAAGCTTCTAGTGTACCTGAACACACCTAACAAATTGTCAAGTCTGTCCTTCCTGAACACCCATCTTAAATACTATCTTAGGAACCAAATGGTTCATAACTTCTTAAGAATTCTTTTCTTTTGTTTGTTTTGTTTTTCAAACCAGGGTTTCTCTGTTGTCCTGGCTGTCCTGGAACTCACTATGTAGACCAGGATGGCCTTGAACTCACAGAGATCACCACTGCCCGGCCACATTTTTTTTTAAAAAAGCAAAATCTGAGTCCAAACCTAAACGTCTATAAAGAACGGGTCTTTTTAAAAGTGGGGATAACAAAAAAGAAAAGAAAAGAAAATCGGCAATGTGTCATTTGCTTACTGTTAATACATAGAAACTAACCCTGGTGATTAAGATCACTAAACAATGTTACTGTGAAAATTCACTGTAAACCCTCCGTAAATCTTTTTTTAAGAATCCTGCCAATCTCTAGGAATTCCCAGCACCTGGGAGGTGGTTACAGAAGGATAAGAAGTTCAAGACCAGTTTGAGTTAAAAAGGTCACAGACTCAAAACAAGCAAACAAACAAACGAACACAAAAACACAGACCGGTTTTAAGAAAATCTTGCGAAGAGATAAAACAACTGAATTACAAAGACACAAAGATGCCCTGAAGGTTCTTTCCAATTCTAATTGGGCTGGATTGTTCTCAGACTACAAATAGCCCTTTACACCTTCAATAAAGGCCAACACTCCTCCCACTTCTTTAATGGCAGAGAGGAAATGTATTGCATTATTGTTCAACTGCTAAGGCTTGTGAAAACTCTCGTCATCATTGAACAGTAGTAACCTCTGTTTCGCAATACTTCCTTACCACATTATCTACATATAAAACTCAGCCCCATCCAAGAGTTGCTGTTAACTCAGGTATTAATCTCTTCAAACCTGTTGGATGTATACAAATATCAGCAGTGGCTGTTTCCCCCTTAGAGAAGAAAGTCTACAAGTTTTTAATTTCTCTCCAGGCCATTAAAAAGCAACATCAAGACATTCAAGGGAACAATATTAGGTTTCAGCCATGTGATATTTAGTATTTTAGTGAAAGTATGACCCTTATATATCTATTATCTTATGTGTAATTTCTTACAGAATTGGCAATATTTCCCCCCTAGGATGAAAGGAAAGATAGGTAGGGGTTAGAGCACATACAATTAACACAACCAACTTCAAAACTTCTTGAAGAAATTCTCTTCTCATACACTTAGAGCTCTTATTCCTCATAAATGAAATAACAGCTTTAAAATCATTTGTGAAAAGTTTTCTAGAAGGGATATTGCAGCCCTTAGAACATTCCATTAAACATTCTTCCAAATGCCATTGTGACTTGAGTGAAAATGTTCAATAAAGTAGGGTAAAAGAGCCAGCCAGGTTTAAGAAGATCAGTTTTTTTTTGGGGGGGGGGATGAGGTTTATATAGTCCAGACTGGCTTTGAACACTCCTTCCAGCCTCAGCTTCCTTCCCACAAACTAGGATTACAGGTGTTTGCCACCACACCCTGCTACAGTCACAGATTTTTATATTTCATTTTAATAACTTGGAATTTCTTCATCTTAATAGTTGACAACCTCTGAAGAAATAGCATGCCCACAAATGTTAAATTGCTAGGATTCCAGGAGGTCAGAACTTGATTTACTGTTCAGCCAGTAAATCACTAAACACTCAAACAGAAAACACCTCTAACGCCTGACTGGCTTTGTTTAGACGTCCTTTTTGCTCAACCACTCACCTATTATACCTTCTAGTTCCAACTGTTCCATTTCCCTGGTACGTTCTATACAGCTACAATGTTGTCTCATTAGCCATCTCACACTGCTAGAGAAAACAGCAAGTTCTTCCATGGCTCATATCAAACTGACCCTCTCCCCTTTTGGAGACATGCTTTCTCAACATAGCCCTCAAAAGTGTCCTCAAACTCATTATGAGGACCAGGCTGGCCTGAACTCACCTGCTTCTGTTTCCTGGGTGCTGGGATTAAAGGCCAATAACACCAAGCCGAGACCACAAACTGACTTTTAACAGCCTTTCTCACAAAGTCATTTTTTTTAAACCAATCTTTTGAATCTAAGCACCTTACACATTATTCAAGGGAGGCCTTTTCTATGTACTCCCATCCTAAGCCGCCATTCTTACCCCAAAGTCTCAGTAACTCAGCATGAGCTGGAGAAAACCCTTCCACACACAGTACAGGGTTAACAGGCCTATGACAGCTACTGATTCAGGGGACAGGTAAGTGTCTATGTCAACACCTAAGCAGGGCGCATCATCCTATCGAAACTGCAATAATCACACTCCAGCTAAGGGGATAAAAACTATTCTTCCTGATATCTGCACAAGATTTATCAGTGTCAAACTCAAAATCATCACAGCATTCTCTTCCAGCAACGTTAAGTCTTGCATCCATTGAAGAAGCTCATCTTTCAAAACATGCTTTAGTAGAGGAGTCAGTAGAGATAAACGAAAGACTGGCTTAAAAAGCACTGCCAGGAAAACCAGGCGTGGTGGCACAGGGCATTAATCCCAGCACTTGGGAGGCAGAGGCTTGAGATTCCCTGTGAGTTCGAGGCCAGTCTCGTCTAAAAGGCAGGACAGCCAGGGCTGTTATACAGAGAAACTAAGTTTCGGAAAAAACAAACAAAATACTGTCAGGAATTCAGAACTCTGTAAGGTATTTTAGAACTGCATGAATATGGTTGATGATTCAACTTGAGTTAATTAGTGTAAGGACTCATGACAATTTACCACTGGATTAAGCAATGTCCTCTGTGAGAGCGCTATTATGTGATGAAAAGGGCTACCTAACCTGGATGACGGGATGAGGTCTCACCTATCTCACAAGGTGACAACTTAAGACAACCCTAGGGGCTTCCCGGTTAAGACCACAGTCAGGGTTTTCCTGGTAAAGGAAGTTCAGAATACGGTAGGAAGAGGCTGCCTGGGTGTACTTTCACAACCGCACTGCTTAACTTTCTCGGAGCTTCATCTTCCTTTCGGGGCTGCAAAACACTACAGGAAGCATGTACTAGAGGAGACCCAAGGAGGAACCCTGGAGAAGGTACTGACGGGCTCCGAGGGAGTTCCTCTGCTTCCCACTGGGAGCGGCCTGCACTTTCTGCAGGATCGGGACTTGGGAGAGGAAGCCCAGCTGCCAGGGACCGGGAGCTCCGCATAGCTGAGGAGCCGGGCAGACTTAGGGAGTCCCGCGTGCCTGGGGAGCCGGGCAGAACACGGGAACACCGCACACCTAAGAAGCCAGGTAGCCCTGGGGAGTCCTGCATGGTTGGGGGCCCCTCATCGCTGGGGAGGCGGAGGCCCGCAGGGCTGGGGAGCCGGGTAGACCTGGGGAGCCTCGAATAACTGGAGAAGCGGCACAACCGGGGAGTCCCACATGGTTGTTGAGTCCCGCGCTGCCCTTGAGTCCTCCTCCCGCTCGGGGGGAGGCCCAGTCAATTCCGGGTCCCAGCCATCAGCGCACCTGAGTCGCGCCCAGCCGCCAGCCGGCCGCTGAGACCCGCCCGCGCGGCTGCCCGTCCGCCCCGGCCCGGCCCGGGCTTCGGCTCGCGGGGTCCCGGCCCACCGCCCCGGCCCCGCCCGGCCTGTCGGTCCCTTCGTACCTGGCCGGCAGCCGCGGCGGTGGCGGTGCTGCTCCTCACGTACCCGTTCCTCACCTCCCCGTTCTTCACGCAGCCGTTCGCCCGCAGCGGGCGGCGGCAGCAGCAGCCTCCGGGTTCCGGCCGCATCGTCCCGGCAGCACCCGGCAGCAGGGCAGGCTCTGGAGGCGGCTGCGGCGCCAACTCCCGCTCCGCACCGCACCCACCTCCCTGAAACCGGAAATGGCTGCAGCGCCGCTGCCAATTCCCGGTCCGGCCGTCACGCGAGGGCGGGGCCAGCGGAGAAGATCTGGCTCGCCGAAGCCGGGCGGCCGGAGGGTGGGAACACGGGGCGGAGCCTGATTGCTTCCGGCCAATCCGAAGGAGAGATGGGCGGACCTCATGCTGATTTTGGCCAATCAAGGGCTAAAGAAAAGCGGGCCTGCTGGCGTCAGGGGGCTTCTTCGGAGGAACTCGAGAGTTGGGCACTTGATTGGCGCCCTAGCCAAGTCGTAGGTGGAGCTTTGCTGCCTAATGGTTCAGACTGATGAGGAGGCGGAGCCCGCAAAGAAGTAGCCAATTAGAGTGTGGAGAAAGAAACAGGGGCTGAGCCCATCTCCAGAGCCGGTTCCTGGTTCTGCAGCACAGGTGGTGGTTGCCCTCTGTGCCCTTCCTCCCTAGAGGTTCTCGGATTGAATCCAAGCCCAAGACAGGCAGCTCCCTTATTTCATTAGCAAATTCCTCTGTGGGTGTTAATAGAATAGCCTTTTTGACTGTCTCTCACCGTTCTTCACTGTGCGCTACTGGAACGTCTCGCGTGCTCATCACTTGTTTCTATCTGGGTTTTCCCTATGCAATTTTTCTCGGAAGACTTTCCTTGAAAGTCAGCAGACCTGATCTATTTCCAGATCTTCTGAGAACAGGAACTGAAACTTGAGGAATTAGGTACTTTAGGAGCCAACTTCTTTTAACATTGTCCCTGATTCATAGACTCATTCGCAGGAAATTCATTAGTAAAGCCTTGGGCACCTATCAGAATACCCAATCCAAACCAATAGCAAAAGAAAGGGAATTGATCTACATTACAGCATTACAGAGACCTTTAGTAACCCATAAAAAAATTCTAGTGTCATAATTAAGAGTATGACTCAGTCTGTGTATGAATGCTGGCTGCCTCACCTACTAGCTGAGTGACCTCTATGTATCTTCCTCTGCTCGGAGGAGATAATAATAGTTGCCATAAGAGAATCTAATGAGTTAATGCATGTGATGTATTTTGTGCAGGACCTAGCAATTAGTAAGTATTCATTAAGTGCTGGTTATTATTAATTGCTGAATGCATCTGTATGAATCCCAACATCACACAAAACCTACTCCCCGGAGTTTTAGAAATGAGTTGGCAATGTATTTGTTTTGCTCGATTTAGAAGAGGACCAGTCTAAGAGAAAGGGGAGAAGGTACAAAACTACTTCCGAGTCACAAACATTCTGATCCCGAAATGAGCATGAGAATCAAAAAGAACAATATGAGGCGGCCTGGAGAGATGATTCAGCAGCTGATTTGGTTCTAGCACCGACATGGTGGCTCACAGAGAGGATCCAAAGCCGCCTTCTGATTTTTGAGGGCACCAGACACGAACGTGGGACACACACATACATGCAGGCAAAACACCCGGAAACATAAATAAATCTCACTTTTAAAAACTGGGTTTTTTTTTTGTTTTTCTTTGAAAGCTCTTTGTACCTTTAAACCAAGCATGGTATGCAGGGGTATAACGCCAGCATTCATGAGTTAGAGGCAGGAGGATCAGGAGTTCAAGATAATCTTTGATTATAAAACCAGTTCCAGGCCATCCTGGGATATACAAGGTCTTGTCTTAAACATGAGGGGGGTGGGAGTGACCCAATCAATAGAAGACTACTAGGGAAACATGAGGAGTTAGGTCCAGATTCTGTACATCCATTTAAAATTCCCCTTCTGTGAACACAGAGGCAGGAGGAATCCTAGAGTTAACCAACAGCCAGTCTAACTGAATTGGTTAAATCCAAAATCAGTCAAAGACTCTGTCTCAAAAATAAGTTAGAGAGGCTCTAATGCACACCTTTAATCTCAGCACTCAGGAGGCAGATACAGGCAGATCTCTGTGAGTTTGAGGCCAGCCTGGTCTACAGAGCGAGTTCCAGGACAGGCCCCAAGCTACATAAACACACACGCAAAGAAGTGTATGCCTCACGAAGCTTACATTCCATTGAGAAACAAGATACAGGGCTGGAGAGATGGCCCAGTGTTTATGAGCACTGGTTGCTCTTCCAGAGGATGTGGATTGGAGCACCTGAACCCACCTGGCTGATCATAAGCATCTATATAGGTGATCTGATGCCCTGCAAAGTCTGACACAAGTCAGTGGTGGTGCATGCCTTTAATCCTAGCACTCAGGAGGCAGAGACAGGTAGATCGCTGTGTGTTCGAGGCCAGCCTAGACTAGAGTGAGTTGCCAAGCTATTACACAGAGAAACCCTGTCTGGAAAAACAAAACAAAAAACAACAAAAAAAATTCTTTTTAAAGGATATACCAATATAAAGGAAAATTTTAAGATGAAGTTAAATAATAAAAGGACAGGCAAACTTTTGAAGAAGGAGAAATAGGAGAGATTTAAGGCTTGGATGAAAGATATGCAATATTAGATGAACCTAGCAAGGTAGGTGGGACTTAAAACTGGCTCTGAATGTACAGGGTAGTCTGATCTGGAGGGAAGGACCCATGACAGGGTGTGCAGAGTTGAGAAGAGCAGAGCCTGGCTTGGATCTTGGGAAGATCTTGTCCCTTTCTTCTGAGGACAGAACACCACCAATTCCTTATCTTGTTCTGCCACTTACTCACCACTTGTGGCCTTAAAAGAGTGACACACACACACACACACACACACAGAGACACACACACACACACACACACACACACACACACACACACACACACACAGAGCCCTGATTTCCTCACTCACCATTTGAGGTTAATTCCTGTACTTCTCACCCTTGCTAGACTGTTGTGGGCATCCATGATATAATACACAAAGGATCTGATTACTCAATAGGCTATTGCTAAATCACAAAAAGTGTATCTCAGTAGGAAACATCCCAGGCTCCACAAAAGCAGGAAAATAGTCCCTTCCAGATGCATAAGCTATCTCCTTCTCCTCATTCTATGGAACTTATATGCAAAGTCTCATGCTAGGTACCAGAATACAACTCCCCCTTTCTCGAGCCACTTCTACTGTGATGCTTTTCTTGAAGTTCATAATCCCTATAAAATTAGACAGCCTGTGTCACATGGCTTTGGAATTCTCTGAGAGGGAGTGATTACAAACAAGAACTCTGTTGTCAAACACAGAGCTGGAGATCCAACTCCAACACTAACAAACCTTGTGACTTAGCAAAGCAGTCTAATTCTCTGTGACTCAATTACTACGTGTGTAAAATAGAATATACGTGCTTCATTGAGCTGAGAAAATTAACTTCTGACCCAGGGATTCAACGCCTTTTGCTTCCACAAGCACCTAAATGTGCATGGTGTGCATACATGCTCAAACGCACACACACGCACACACAAACATGCACGAATGCACACACGCATGCATGCATGCATGCATCAAAATAAAAATATTTTTTTTGTTTTTTTTTTTCGAGACAGGGTTTCTCTTTGGATTTGGAGGCTGTCCTGGAACTCACTCTTGTAGACCAGGCTGGTCTCGAACTCACAGAGATCCGCCTGCTTCTGCTTCCTACTGCTGGATACAGCTCATGTGTTGTTTTTAATATCCTTGCTTGAGATGTCTTTAGGAAAACCTTCATTATCTCTACAGGCAATTCTATCTTGACTATCCAAAAAGAAAAACAAATTAGGTTCCAGAGCAAGGGTCAACACCCTCTCCCCTTTCATGTCCCTTAATTTTCTCTGTCTTTCTATCCCACCTCATCAGTGAGATTGTAAAAGACTCACAAGAAAGAAAGAAACTTTTAGAAGTCAGTCACTTCTGTATACAAAATAAATGAAAACCACAGTGATGGCCAGCTCATATTGAGGATGTGATCTGGATGTCAAGAGCTTATTTAGCACCCCCTTTCCAAGTCATCCATGCTTCACTCATTCATCTCCCCACTTGGCCATTCATCCAATAAAGACTGGTTTGCTAGTTACTGTATCAGGTGTCACAGTGATAGGAAGAAGAACTAGGTGTCTGCCCTTCGAGAACTTTCAGGGTGTTCATGTGTGTGCTGGTGTGTACATGTGTATAGACACCAGAGGATAGCTCTGGGTGTCATCCTCAGGAACACTGTCCACCTCTTTGAAGATAGGCTCTTTGTTGTTGATGATGATTGTTCTGTTTTTTCAAGATATAGCCCTGGAATTCACTCTATAGACCAGGCTAGCCTCCAACTCAAGAGATCTACCTGCCTCTGCCTCTGGAGTGCCCAGCCCAGCAAGACAGGGTCTGGGGATCACCTATTAGGCTAGGTGGGCTGGCCACCTCTTGAGTCCTCCAGTCTCTATATTCCCAAATTCCCAGGGCTGGCATACAAAGGCTCACTGTACCAAGTTTTTTCTTTTGGGTAACCGACTATCTCTCAAATCATGACATGGAGACTTCTTATTAGCTATAAATGCTCGACCTAGCTTAGGTTCGTTTCTGGCTAGCTAAATTAAACCTGTTTCTCTTTATCTGCCTTTTGCCTTGGGCTTTACTTTTCTTTCCTTCTGTACATCTTATTCTCTCTCCCTGCCAGCCCTGCCTATCCTTTCTCCGACAAGATATTGGCTGTTCAACTTTTTTTTTGTTTTTGTTTTTTTTTTTTTTGTTTTTTTGTTTTTTTTTTCGAGACAGGGTTTCCCTGTGGCTTTGGAGGCAGTCCTGGAACTCGCTCGGTAGACCAGGCTGGTCTCGAACTCACAGTGATCCGCCTGCTTCTGCCTCCCGAGTGCTGGGATTAAAGGCGTGCGCCACCAACGCCCAGCGGCTGTTCCACTTTTTATTAGGCCAAAAAGGGACCTTGGGCAGGCAAGGTGAAACAAATGTATCACATCTTTACATTATTAACAAATGCAGCATAAACAAAAGTAACACATCTTTGCCTAGTTAAAAACAATATTCCACAATAACTCACCACTGTGCTGCATATTCTGAGAGAATTCTGAAGGAACTCAGTTTGTCACACCAGGAAACTGAGACATCTCCCTAGCCTTTATTTAAAAA